ATACAAAAATTAGCCGGGCATGATGGCGGGTGCCTCTAATCCCAGTTACTCAGGAGGCTAAGGCAGGAGAATCACTTGAATCTGGGAGGCAGAGGTTGCAGTGAGCCGAGATTGCGCCACTGCACTCCGGTCTGGGCGACAGAGCAAGACTCCACCTCAAAAATAAAAAAATAAATAACTAAATTAGGACTAGAATGTTACTGATACTCATTCCTTTGTTGTAAAATTTTATGTTGATATTATTTCAAAAGTAAAGTGAAACTTCTGTAACAAATTTCTAGTTTTCATGAATAGTGCAAGGAATTCCCATATACCCTTTGCCTAGGTTTACAGGTTGTTTACATTTTTCCTACTGCTTTACCCTTCTGTTGTTCTAACTTTTCTCTCCTCTCCTCTCTTCATAATTACGTTTCTGTACCGTTTGAGTGTAAGATGAAAACTGTGCTTGTTTATTCCTCAATATATCAGTGTGTTTATCTTGAAAATAAATACATGTTCTTACATAACTTATAGCTATCAAAAATGGTTCATATTGAAATTTCATTCATTGTTCTGAGTAATTTTAGGCTATTTTCCTTGTTCAGGAACAAACCCAGTGTCAGATATTTATATTTACTCATAATGTATTTTTAGAGTTCTTTCATTTGGAACGTTTTCGTTTTTATTTGTTTATTTTTATTAGTTTTTTAAAAAATACTATCAGTTAAGTAATTTGAAGAATTTTCCCACAATTTAGGTTTCTTTGAAATTTTTCATAATTATATGTAAGTTATACATTTTGGCATGTTTGTCACTGAAGTGATGTTGTTGTACCCTGGATTTTTTTAAAGGTATGTGCCATTTTCTTTCAGTATTGGACATTTTAGGTTAAATGTTTTGATAAAGTCATTATTCTCTAAATCTTTCAACTGTGAAATTACTGTTTTCTTTTTGGGTTTAACATGTAATTTTGGAGGAGTTGTATTGAGACCCTGGGTGTATTCTGTTTCTCCTCAAACTTTAACTAGTTTTAAAATCCATTAGTGATTTTCTAACTGTATTATTGACTTTGCCCTTATTAGCTAGAAATGTACTGTAGGAAGAAGTAGACACTTCTATACTTTTATTTATTGACTTATCTATATATTTATGTGTATCAGTTTAGACACAGTAATTGTTATTTTATTTAATAGGATAGAATACATTACTATCATTATTTATTTTGATACTTTCTCAAATTATCTTAAGTTTGACTATTGGAAATCCCTTTGAGTTGGTTAATGTATCCTTTTCAAAAGTCTGTATGACTTTTTAACAACTTCCAAATTTTTCCAGCACATGAAAAGATGTTATAGGCTGCATTGCACTTCTTCTACCTCTGTTCTGGATTCAGCTATTTATCCAAGAAGCCTTGATTCCTTTTCTTAGAAGACGGTATTTGAAAATAAATACCTAAGCACCAGTAGTCTGCACGTCTACTGTTTCTCGTTACCTCTCAACCTTCTCAGTCAACAGAGCTAGAACATGCATTTCATATATGCACATACATGTAGCACATATTCATTTATTTAAATCTCTGAATTGAAGACATGAACTTAGTAATAATTCAAATTCTAATTAAGTACCATAAAGTACATCTTAGTATACAAGTTGCTTCCTCATATACTCACGTTCCAAATGTACAGAAATTTGCTTTGTAACTGCTAAAGTGTATACTTACTAAAGGAAAACGTCTAGCTATTCTGACTACATTTTCCTTTGCATCATTGATCCTTTTTATATTAGCTGCGTTAAAGGACTTCTCTGCTGAATGCAATGTCTGGGTAGTATTGGTATTGATATCTAGTCATTTATTTGCCCTCTATGTTATATTTCACTTTTTCTTTGTATGTTTAGCATATGTTTAACTTTGTATCATATAATATGACTATTATATAATAGAAATTGCATTCACCTCTGCTTTTCTGAAGGCTAGAATTTTGTAATGGAAGGGATTTAACATAGCTGGACTCAAACTATAAACCAAACCTGTCTCTGCACAGGAACTGAAAACATTGTTCATTTCTTTATGCCTCCAGGAGATGCTTTTAATGTGCTCCCTGGATTCTTCACCACACATGCTTAATTAGTTCAGTAGTCATCCAGGTTTCAGGCTGAATATAAATCTGAAATTTATATTCAGATTTTACTTCTCAGTCTAAGTTTCCAGTCAACTAACTGATATTAGGCCTGTATTTTAGTTATGTCCTTGGATCATTCAAGCTAAGAATCTTCAACCTTGGATGTGCTTTCATAAATTATTAAACAAAGCCACATCTACAGAATATCTGGTGCTGCAGTTCCCATTCTTAAAGCTCAGTTATATAGTCCTTCCCTTTCTGGTTACATTCCAGTGCCTTCAAAGTATAAGCATGTGTGTTTTAGATTACACTTCTACCTTACTACAATGCCTTCCAGCCAAAGACCACCAAGAAGGCAGCTAAAGCTGAACAAGTTGGGTTTTTTTTTACATATTGGGTGGTGAGAATGCACATTATGAGAAATTGTGGAGCATGCCAGTTCTAGAGATTTGGACTTGAGTTAGGTGATTTTTAGGAAGGTTTCAGGAAATAGACATTTGCTGTAAATTAGATGTTTTAAAGTAGAGATATTAATAATTGTATGATTGTGTATCTTAATCTTATATATGAAGAGGGAAGACTAAAGTGAAGCTAAAGCTGTAATTGCTAAAGAAGCAATAGTCACACATGTTAGTTGAATGTCCAGTAAATTTGTGGCTTGGACAATGTTTGTTTCTCATCTGTGTTCAGACATGATCTATGAAGTGAACTTGCTTATTTTCTTAATCTTTCATGGTCGCAGAATGGCTTTGCCTAAGGTTGATGTTCTATTAAATTACTTAATGTTTAACAGGTGTGTGCATGCACTATGAGTGTAGAACAACTTTTATCAACTCCAAGTCCTTGCTCGATGATGCCTGATCACTTCAGGGGCTGGTTTGCCCATTTTCGTTGTCTTCTTTTGACCAAAGGGAGAAAAGTTCAGACCATAGAAAACTGCTGGAAGACATCTAGATTTTCATCACTGCTGAGATTTTGCTGATTAGGAGGCTATTTAGATAACATATGTTGTCTATCTCAACATATGTAGTTGATCTAGGGTTAGTCACTCTGCCTCCATGGTTTCCTGAATCTTCTGATGTAGCAATGGTCATGTGGTAGCATTTAAGATTCCAAACAGGATGCAAGGGCCAAATAAAAACCTTACGGTTTGTAGCATGTACTATAGGCAAATGCTCACATTAATCTGTAGGACATACTACCTTATGTGATACATATAGTGATAACCCTGTAGTATTAATCAGTGATTATTTTTGTTAATTAACGTGAGTGACCTTGAAATCTTCATTTTTAAAATCACTCAAAAGGTGAAAAGATGTTAAATTCATTTGAACTTGGGTTTGATTTTGTTTCAGTTTCAAAGGAAAATGAAGGAATCACAAAAAAAGTTGTCAGGCTAACTAGGGAATATTAGGTTGGTGCAAAAACGATTGCGGCTTTTGCCATTAAAAATGTGGCAAAAACCACTATTAGTTTTGCACCAACTTTAGTTCATAATTACTAAAATGTTCAGTTATTATTGGCAATTTAGGCAAGGCCCTTTTTTTTTTGGTGTTTTAAAATGAATTGCATATATTCTCTTGCAAACCTTGAATACTTTATTTAAATCTATCTATTTTAGAAATTATATTACTGTACTTCTCTAAATTAAAATTAATAATTTTTATTTATGGATAAATTATAGCAGCCTGCAGTGCGGAAAATTAATATGTAAATATGCAGGTGAATTTTTATTACAAATTCCAAGAGCCACTATTATTTATGCCAACATAAGTGGACATCTCTGTGTTGCTGTGGAATTTGCCAGTGATCATGAAGACAGCCACAAGATGTGGATAAAAGATGGAACTTCTTGTGGTTCAAATAAGGTAGGTAGTCTTTTATTCCCAAATAATTTCCTAATATTTTAGACTTTGTCCTTTTTTGAGACGAATGTCACTCTCGCCCTGGCTAGAGTACAGTGGTGTGATCTCTGCTCAGTGCAACCACTGCCTCCTAGGTTCAAGTGATTCTCCTGCCTCAGCCTCTTGAGTAGCTGGGATTACAGGAGGTACCACCATGCCAAGCTAATTTTTATATTTTTAGTATAGATGGGGTTTTGCCATGTTGGCCACGCCAATCTCAGACTCATGACCTCAGGTGATCCATTCACCTCAGCCTCCTGAAGTGCTGGGATTACAGGCATGAGCCACAGCACCTGGCCTAGACTCTGTTCTTAAATGATACATAATTAGTATTTTTTCTCAGAATTTAAGTGTATATTCAATACAGAAAATCAGGAAAAAAACAAACTTTAAAAGAATAAAATATTTGCAATCATGCATAGATGACATTGCTATGACTATTTCATTGGTTATTTAGTACTTTTTTCATTGAAATGTGTGTATTACCTGAATTGAGAACCGCATTGTTCATTTACTGTATTTTATTAAATTATCTCATATTACACAGAGAATACATCTAATGTCATAAATTATCTTTTGGTATAATTATTTTAAAATAGCCATTAAAATAATATATGCCCATTTTACTCATGAAAATAATAAACAAACTCACAGAATAAAGAAAAAATCAATCAAAGTCACATATCTGAGATGTAATAACTTTTTATTTTTAGGAACCTTCCATCAATTTTTCATAAACATGCACACACACATGGAGTTGTAGGATATTTATCTATCTACATATCTATCTTTCTTACTTTGCATTCAATATGGTAGCTATGCATATATATCAATAGTTTTTGCCTTCTGATTTTTTTTATTATACGAAATATGAACTACTTACATACAAACACATATATACATAAGGAGGTGCAAGCTCAAATTAGTGTCATGTTTAAATTCTAAAGCCTCTCTGGCTTAATAAGTAACAGAATACAGTAAGCCCCTTAGTGAAGAAAGGAGGGAAAGGAAAACTATACTAACTTTACTAATACTCATTTAGAAAATTAGAAAGTAAGAGTGTATACAAATAAAAAAATTGTCATTCCAAATTCTCACACAAAATGTAAGTCATTTAAAAAATTGTGCAACACATTTGCTTTCATTAAATTTAGTTTGAAAACTTCTTACCAAATTAATGCTCAAGACTATCTTACATTTTAAATTCTCCATTGTTTCTAAACAGGTTAAAATATGTTATGTGAGGTAGGAATTGCACAGGAAATGGGAACCACCAAGAGTGGCTTAAATAGTTGGTAGTTATTTTTTTCCCATAATACAAAGTAATTTTGGAGTTTGTCCATCCAGTGCAGTTACTGGGTGCCATTATGTCATCAATGATCCAGACTCAGTCCAGTTTTTAGCTACAGATCTTGTTTGTGACCCTCTTTCATATTGCCTTCAAAATGGTTGATTGGAACTCCGCTTATATCCACAGTTAGTGAATGGGATGAAGAATGTATGACAGGCAATACCCTGCCACAGTGTTCATGACAAAAGTGATGTCTCATCAAGTAGCCATTTAGGAACACTAGGATGAGGATGGGATGAGTTGGAAAAATAATACATTTTAAATCAACCATGTATTTGAGAAACTAAAAAACCACACACAGGCCTAGGAAAGATGCATGCTCAGAAAGGATCTAGGATGACCATAAGCTTTATATTCAGGTCAACCCCAAAGTTCAGATAATACTAAAGAAATTAGTAAAGAACTTCTACAGAACAGAGCCATTCTACAAACTTGGGCAAGGTGGCAGGTTGTTTAATTGCCCCATTTTCATGCTATTTCTTGCCTAAATACCTTGTTTTTCTTTGTGTGTGTGTGTGTGTGTGTGTGTGGTGTGTGTGTGTGTTTTACTGTTTTATAGGTCCTGTGAAATTCATGCTTTAAGGAGGTGGTGGATTTACTATTCCGGTGGATTTACTATTACTTGCACCCTCTAAAGCTATGGGCTGAGCTGTACCTTGGACCTTTTTAGCCATAGCTAGAGTAGCTGGGATGCAGGGTGCCAAGTCCTGAGGCGGTATAGAGCATGGGGACCCTGGGCCCTGCCGAGGAAACCATTTTTCCCTCCTAAGTCTCTGTGTCTGTGATGGGAAGGGCTACCATGAAAGTCTCTGATATGCCTTGGAGACGTTTCCCCCACTGTCTTGATGACTAACATTTGACTCCTCATTACTTATGCAAATTTCTGCAGCAGACTCTAATTTTTCCCCAGAACAAGGATTCTTTTTTTCTATTGCATCATCAGGCTGCAAAGTTTTCCAACTTTTATACTTTGCTTCTTCTTGAATGCTTTGCTGCTTAGAAATTTCTTCTGCCAGATTGCCTAAATCATCTCTCTCAAGTTCAAAGTTACACAGATTTCTGGGGCAGGGGCAAAATACTGCCACTCTCCTTGCTAAAACATAACAAGAGTCACCTTTTCTCCAGTTTCCAACAAGTTCCTCATTTCCATCTGAGACTACCTCAGCCTGGACTTCATTGTTCATATCACTAAGCGCATTTTGGTCAAAGTCATTCAACAAGTCTCTAGGAAGTTCCAAACTTTCCCACTTTTTCCCATCTTATTCTTAGCCCTCCAAATGATTTCAATCTCTGGCTGTTACCCAGTTCCAAAATTGCTTCCACATTTTGGGTATCTTTACAGTAGCACTCCATTCCTGGTACCAATTTTACTGTATTAGTCTGTTCTCATGCTGTTAATCAAGACATGCCTGAAACTGGGTAATTTATAAAGAAAACAAGATTTAATGGGCTCACAGCTCCACATGACTGGGGAGGTCTCACAGTCATGGCAGAAGGGAGGAACAAAGGCATATCTCACATGGAGGCAGGCAAGAGAGTGTGTGCAGGGGAACTGCCCTTTATAAAACCGTCAGATCTCGTGAGACTTATTCACTATCAGGAGACCAGCATGGGAAAAACCTGCCACCATAATACCTCCCACCAGGTCCCTCCCATGACACTGTGGGTATTATTGTGGGAGCTACAATTATGTCTCCACCATAATCTCTTGCCCCAGGTGTCTGCAAATATTACTCTCCCTGCAGCTTTCCCTAGCAGTCTATACTGCTTCTTTCCATCTGAGATTTGAGTTAGGCAAATCAAAAACCAGTCCTTAAGGCAGCTACCAGACAAGTTAGAAGATTGCCAGTAAGATCTGTGCTGCATCCTTCAGTTTGAGGGAAGGGATTGAGAATTTAGCTGCTGCCTCATTCAGACAAAAATGCCATAAAATTTTCTACCATTTTGACTGTGACAATGTGTTCTTCAGTATTTTACTGGTTGCTACAGACCTTTAATTGTTGCCGGAGCTCCTATAATGTTATTTCAGCCTGATTTTGTTTTGTTTCCTATATCACCATTTTTCTGATGTACCTCCTCAGACTATTTATTGAAAGTTTGATATAACCTGCTTGGAATTCTGCCACTGTTGTAGGTTGCAAATGATCATTTAAATCCAAAATGCTTGGTCATTGGTGGCCACTGGAGGAGTGCTGCATTCAGTTTTAGTTGCTTTTGTGGAATCACATTGTTTCACATTTTCTGAACCTAAAAATGATTTTTGTCTCTGGCACAATTATGCCTTTAAAAAAAGAGTATGAGCCTGGCCAACATGGTGAAACTCCATCTCTACTGAAAATACAAAAATTAACTGGGCGTGGTGGCACAAACCTGTAATCTCAGTTACTTGAGAGGCTGAGGCATAGAATTGCTTGAACCCAGGAAGCATAGGCTGCAGTGAGCTGAGACCATGCCACTGCACTCCAGCCTGGGCAACAGACTGAGACCAACCCTATCTCAAAAAAAAAAAAAAAAAAGATAGTATGTACAGATTTTATTTCACTTAGTATTTTAGTCCCTCCATAACAAGAGGGTTTCTGTAGGAACCTATTCTGCCTAATGACAATAAAAGAGGCTGCATTATGAGTCTTATCTCAAAACAAAAATAAATCTGTTTTAGAGAGTTTGGTGAAGAATAAAAAAGAATTGTATTTTTTATCTAATATTACTATTGCTATATGGTTATAAATATTTTTAATTTTTTTTAGCTAGTTTCTTAACTTGGATGCTATTTTTCCCTAGCGAAACTTCCTGCATGATGCAACTGAAGTTAAGCACTCTGCCACAGGCATGTTAAAGCAAAAACAAACAAACAAACAAAAACCAAACAGACAAAAACAAAAAACCACAACAACACTTCATTGCACAAAAAGGGTACCAGTAATACCAACAACCCTTCCTCAACTTTTGTTTCTCTAGACAATTAATATATTTAATGGTTCTGAGAATTAGGTTTACTTTTTTCTGGACAATAGCTCTGCAAATTATATATCTAACTTTTCTATTTAAATTGTAGTTAGGTGTGAAGGAAGCATGCTAACAGAATAGATTTATAACTACAGTAGCACTAATTTGTATACAGTATCCAGAGCTAGTACTTTTTATGCTAGTACCACAGCCATCCAAGATAACCTGGCCATCTATTCATCATTAGTCCATTTCCCTGTAAATTTTTTTTTTTTTTTTTTTTGACACGGAGTCTGGCTCTGCCGCCCAGGCTGGAGTGCAGTGGTCGGATCTCAGCTCACTGCAAGCTCCGCCCCCAAGGTTCACGCCATTCTCCTGCCTCAGCCTCCCAAGTAGCTGGGACTACAGGCGCCCGCCACCTCGCCCAGCTAGTTTTTTTTATTTTTTTTTTAGTAGAGACGGGGTTTCACCGTATTAGCCAGGATGGTCTCGATCTCCTGACCTCGTGATCCACCTGTCTCGGCCTCCCAAAATGCTGAGATTACAGGCTTGAGCCACCGCGCCCGGCCTCCCTGTAAATCTTAAACAGAGGTATGCATTGCCATAACTCTCCAACACAAAAATGTATTTTTTCATACTCAATAATATTGGGCAAAAACTATGTGAACAGATTAACTCTCTGACTTTAAAAGTTAATGTGTTATGATCCTATATTATAAGAGAAAAAATCTCCCAAAATATTGCCAATATTCTTTAGCAAACTTTTAAAATAAAAAATATTTCCAATTACATGTTCTTGGGCTTACCATGAGTCGCTTTGGGTGTTTGTATGAGTTCATCAAACATTTTCTGTTCTTTTGAAACATAGTATTATTTGATATAGGTCGAAAGTGATCTCTGAAAACAATTACTAAACCTTTGTCTTTATGCTTAACTTTCCTTATCTCAGTTGATTTAACTACCAGCAAGAGAATTAAACAAGTCAGAATCCTTGGTGTCATTCATCCATCTCTTTTTACTACGTATATTACTCCAGCTCAGCTGGTTTAAACTTTCCATGTCAAATACATCTACTGGTTTCTATCCTCATTGCCACTCAGTTTCACTGTATGGTTATCATTTTTGTGGACCACAGCAATGACATTCTAACTTTGTATCTTCAGGCTATTGCCCTTTCCATTCTCTTTTCCAAAACCTACTTTCATCAGCTTTCCCTCTTCCAATATGTAAATACAGCAAATTGCTGTATTTGGCCAACTTGCTCATGAAGAGTATAAGATTCTACACAATCATGCCATTAAATATCTCCTGTCATATAATATCAAGTGTTTTGTTTGTTTCTCTCTCTTTGTTATGATATGAACAAGATGAGATTCGTGTTGTTCACTGATGCCTTCTTGGGGCCAGGTACATTTGTAGGACTCAAATATGTATTTAATGAATGACTGAATGGCCACACTGCCCTTTAGATTTCTCAAAGATTCAATATATTCTTCCAAGGCAGAATCATTTTAAATATTATTTCTTTTTTATAATACTCTGTCTTTTACTTCTATACCGATTAATTCTGATCTATCATCAGGGCTCAATAAGAAGGTTTTACTGTTCTCAAATATTTGACACATTTCCTGTATTTTACGCTTTCATAAATCAATGTTTTCATTACAGCACTTATTACATGCTTATTTGTGTTTTACTCATTTCATATTTGTACCTGCTACCCCAATCTAAGCAGGGAAGAAGCTGTTATTGTTTTGTTTACTCCTAGGTAATCAGTGTCTCATCTAGTGCTGGAAAGATAGTAGCTCAATACATTAACTATTCATTGTTAGTATTCTAATTCTTGTTGCTAAGAATTATTAGTCCATGGAAATATGGTATGGTATGGAATGCTTTTAATTAAATGGCAACTCTAGATGGCATGTCAATTAATTTATTTTTGCTCATCCTTTTTAGGTTTGCAAGAATCAAAGATGTGTGAGTTCTTCATACTTGGGTTATGATTGTACTACAGACAAATGCAATCACAGAGGCGTAAGTAGCGTACTATGAGGTGAAAATAGAAATCATTGAGTCTAATTTTAGGAAACTAAATGCATTGCTACACACACACACACACTCACCACGCACAACATATAGGAAACTTGGCCTTATCTGACATACATATTATTTTATAATTCTACTTGAACACATATAAATCTAGTTGCTTATCTTATAAGGTGATATTTCTCCTTCTTTTAGGTATGCAATAACAAAAAGCACTGTCACTGCAGTGCTACATATTTACCTCCAGATTGCTCAGTTCAATCAGATACATCGCCTGGTGGGAGTATTGACAGTGGCAATTTTCCACTTGTAGCTATACCAGCCAGGCTCCCTGGTAAGTATTAATAATAAATCAAAAATATAATTAAAACATAATTTGAATTTATTAAATTTAATAACATAATATTTTGTCTACCAATTTATATCTAGACTATGTTTGGACATTAAACTGCATACGAATACGTATGTTTTACTTCCACTTCCAGAGAGTAATATATTACAACATATGTAGCATGTGTTATAAATATGATATATCAGTCAGAACCCAGGCGTAAAGATAGAAATCACTTTAGTCTTTCAAACAGAAAGAATGCAATGTAAGGCATCTGGTAATTGCATAGATGAGAAGATAATCAGAGAAAGGTGAGGCAACCCAGAAAATGACTACCACTTTTTAGGGTTGGAGGGACAATAAAAAGAGATGGTATTACTAGAATCAGAATCTGGGCTATTTAGCATGATATATAACTCTGGTCAGGGATATATAGCAGGATTGGAACCACAGGGAGAGTTACTGTCCAGCATGAACTGGAGGTATAGAGAATATACAGTCTACTGTTGGTGATGCTGGTGAGGAAGGGGGAGTAATATCAGAGCTATTTTTACTCTTCGAATCCTCCAAATTTTACTCAGTGATTCCCAGTGATAAAAACTGACTGGAAGACAGCAGATCAAGGAACTTGGGCAGTGTGGCCCCCTGTGATATTGATCAAAGCAGAGGAAAAGTCTAGATGAATTTTAGAGAAAGCAAGAAGTTAACTGGCGTATCCAATGATACTTAGGGCCAGGAGATTTCTTTGACATAAAAATCTAAATGTACACACAATTAGAGCCATTTTTCTATTTTTGAGTCATACGTAGTTTCCACATTAATTCCAGTATCTGGAAATATTATATTTTATGTTATATAGTAATAGATTAGTAAGTTTAAAACTTTGTAATTAATGTATTTTCAAGCTATTTCCATTTTACTAGCAACAATTAGCTTTTCTTCCCATTGGCTGCAATTAATTGTTTCTATTCATGCACACATACGCCATTTCCCAATGAGCAGTGGAGACCACTCCTTTCCAGATTGATTTTAGTGGTATGATTGATCAACAAAATGTGAAGAACTAACATTCTAGGACTCTCGTGGTCTTCCTACAGACACTATCTAGGTATTTTGGAATCCTTACTTCTCTCATTCCTGGAAATCTCATTCTCTCATTCACTTCTTGAAAATTATCAGCAATATCTGAAATTTGATTGCACTCAGAAACAAAAATACAACCATCTAATAAGCCCTTCTCAAATTCATAACCAACAAAATTGTGAGCAAAATAGAATGTTTTAAGTTACTAAGCATTGAGGTAATTTCTTACATGGCAATAAATAATTAAAAAAATTTAGCTACTGCTATGTTGTGTAATAGAAATCTAAAATGTGGCTTTAACTTTGAAATTGGATAGTGCATGAAAGATAGAAAGGCAGGAAACTACTGAAGTCTTAGTACATGTTGAAGTTGGTGAGCAATTCAAGGACAGTTTAAAAACACGTTGCAGAAAGTGAAACCATTATTATGAAGTGGTAAATTGTTAGGCATCACTGCTGCCTTTGGTAATGTGGAAAATTGAACTCATGCCTACTATGAAATGACTGGAAAAAAAACATTAATGAGACTTTCTAGGACATTGGTCCATGCAAGGATTTTATCGGTTTGAAAGTAAAACTAATTTTCATTCTCCGCAAGTTTCTTACAGTAAGAAACAATGAAAGGCCAAATTTGAGATTAGAGCAATAAAATTTTATATCAAATCAAAATTAAGCAAGGCCTTTGACTGTAAACACCTCTGTTAAAATCTCAGGAAAACCTAAGTTGATATCTCTTAGAGACTCTTTCATCCATACAAAAGGCCTTCTAAGTATTTTATGTAAATGCATCATAAAAACTTTCAAACAATAAGGCTACTAAGAATTTTAAACTGGTAATTTCATAACAGCCTCACAGGATCCAACAGAGAGAGGCATATGTCAAAGAGATTTGTGAGTGTGGCCTTTGTTTAATGGATTGTGGTTTTATTTGATACTTGAGAAATTCAAAGGAATTATATTAGCTCAGATTGAAAGTGATCAAGGTAGCATATATGTTCATTGGTCCACAATAAACTACAGGCAAGAAACAGGTTGATAAAGGTAGTCAGATGTGAAAAGGACTATTTGGATTATAAACCAAAGGGCATAAACAAAAAGTCAGAAACCACACTTCTTCTTAATCTGTGGGTTTATTTTTTAAATCACCACCAAAAAAATAAATAAATAAATAACAACAACAAAAAATTGTAGGCATAGATGGTTTCACAGGTGAACCAAACCAAATTCTTGAAAGAAAGCAATATTATTTTCAGAAAACGGTAATGGGGAAGTTCCTGTCAACTCATTGTATGAGGAAAACATAATCCTGATGCCAAATTCAAACAAGGAACTCAACAAAGAAGAAAATCACAAAACAATATTCTTCATGAATAGAGATATAAAAATCCTCAACAAAATATTAGCCCATGATATATAACTATCCATTTTAAAAAGAGTTACAAGAGTCACTTTGGGCACTTATGTTTTCAAGCTATCTATTTCATATAAAATATGTTAATTTTAAAATTATTAAATTGTTCAAAGGTTCTATTCTGCTAGACTTAGTAAAATACAGAAATATCTTTACTATATTTCTGGTGCTTGCTTTCAAATCTTTGATTTTTTTCTCTCCTAGAAAGGCGCCACATGGAGAACGTTTACCATTCCAAACCAATGAGATGGCCACTTTTCTTATTCATTCCTTTCTTTATTATTTTCTGTGTACTGATTGCTATAATGGTGAAAGTTCATTTCCAAAGGAAAAAATGGAGAACTGAGGACTATTCAAGCGATGAGTACATTGATTTCATATTTAAGATTTGTTATTTGTATAATTTATGAACATAGTCAATAAATAGCAATGTGGTAGATGTAATGAGTAAGAATTCAAATTCAATTATTGTCTTTATATGAGAATTTAATAACTCATATATGAATAACTAATGGCCAGCGGTGGTGGCTCACACCTGTTATCCCACCACTTTCTGAGGCCAAGGCGAGTGGATCACTTAAAGCCAGGAGTTCAAGACCAGCCTGGGCAACACAGTGAAATCCCATCTCTACAAAAAAAATACAAAAATTAGCCAGGCGTGGTGTCATGCATCTATAATCCCAGCTGCTCGGGAGGCTGAGGCAGGAGGATCACTTGAGCCTGGGAGGCAGAGGCTTCAGTGAGCCAAGATTGTGCCACTGGACTCCAGCCAAGGCAACAAAGAGAGACTGAGACTCAAAAAAGAAAAAATTATACACACACACACACACACACACACAAACACACATACACATACATATATACATATATAATAATTGCAATTTTGGGGGCGTGCCCAAGATGGCCAAATAGGAAGAGCTCCAGCCTCCAGCTCCCAGCGTGAGCAACACAGAAGACAGGTGATTTCTGCATTTTCAACTGAGGTACCGGGTTCATCACACTGGGGCATGTTGGACATGTGCAGCCTGACCAGTGAGAACTGAAGCAGGGTGAGGCATTGCCTCACCTGGGAAGCCCAAGTGGGAAGGGAATCCCTTTTCGTAGTCAAGGGAACCTGAGACACACAACACCTGGAAAATCGGATAACTCCCACCCTAATACTGCACTTTACCAAGGGTCTTAGCAAATGGCACACCAGGAGATTATATCCCACACCTGGCCTGGAGGGTCCCATGCCCTTGGAGCCTCCCTCATTGCTAGCACAGCAGTCAGAGATCTAACTGCAAGGTGACAGCGAGGCTGGGGGAGTGGTGCCCGCCACTGCTGAGGCTTAAGTAGGTAAACAAAGCCCATGGGAAGCTCAAACTGGGTGGAGCCCACCGCAGCTCAAGGAGGCTGGTCTGTCCCTGTAGACTCCTCCTCTGGGAACAGGGCATAGCTAAACGAAAAGCAGCGGAAACCTCGGCAGAGGTCAATGCCCCTGTCTGATAGCTTTGAAGAGAGCAGTGGATCTCCCAGCACAGAGGCTGAGATCTGAGAACGGACAGACTGCCTGCTCAAGTGGGTCCCTGAC